AAAAAAGCCAAAAAAACAATGTGGTACATATATACCATGAAATACTATGCAGCCATAAAAAAGAATGAAATCACGTCCTTTGCAGCAACATGGATGCAGCTGGAGGCCATTATCCTAAGTGAATTAACGTAGAAACAGAAAACCAAATACCACATGCTCACACTTATAAGTGGGAGCTAAATATTGGGTACAGACAGACATAAAGATGGAAACAATAGACACTGGGGAGTACTAGATGAGGGAGAGCAGGAGCAGGGCAAGGGTTGAAGAACAACCTATTGAGTACTATGCTCACCACCTGTGTGTTGGGATCATTTGGACCCCAAACTCCAGTGTCACTCAATATACCCATGTAGCAAACCTGCACATATACACCCTGAATCTAAATAAAAGTTGAAATTATATTTAAAAATGAAATAAGCTAGTAAATCCTCACAGTTAAGTACCTCCCCATCCCCCAAAACACAAGCGCTTCTGCCTCTGTCATCTCATATGTTCCTCACACTAAAGCTGTGAGGTATGGATCAGGAAGCTCATTTTATGGAGGAGAACACTGGGGCATAGAAAGGTTAAAGCTAGGGTTTCTAACCAGGGTCTGTGAAATGGGACAGGAAAACAATTGCCACTTGGTTTTCACTTTCTGTGTGGTATGAACAGAGGTCACGGACCTAAGTAGCACCATCACTGCCTCTGTTTGCTCCCAGCAAAAATCAAAGCTCTTTGCCTCTTGTTAGGGTGGCTACAGATGTCTCAAAATACTTTTTATCCTCATCTTGACTTTAAAATTATGGTCTCTTTAGACCTTCAGTTTGATTTTGTTCTTTACATTTATTAATAAACAAGGACATTTATTATTGCCTACTGCCATGTCACAAATTAGTTTTTTAATATATTTTTTCTTTTTTCTTTTTCAGAGGCAAGGTCTTACTTCGTCACCCAGGCTGGAGTGCAGTGGTGCAATCATAGCTCACTGCAGCCTCCAACTTCTGGGCCCAAGCAATCTTTCCACCTCAGCCTCCCAAAGTGCTGGGATTACAAGCATAAGCCACCACGCTCGACTAATTTTAAAATGTTTTGTTGTAGAGATGAAGTCTCATCATGTTGCCCAGGATGGTCTCAAACTCTTGGCTTCAAGTGAATCTCCCACCTTGGCCTCCTAAAGTGCTGGATTACAGGTTTTTGAGACACTGCACCGAGCCAATATTTTAATGACAGTATTGCAATAGCATTGATTTCTTTTGTAGCTCTGTGCATTTTATTTTGAGACAAAGCCTTCTTCTGTTGCCCAGGCTGGAGTCCAGTGGTGCGATCTTGGCTCACCACAACCTCCACCTCCTGGGTTCAAGCGATTCTCCTGCCTCAGCCTCCTGCATAGCTGGGAGGTGCCCGCAACTACAGCTGGCTATTTTTTTTTTTTTATGTTTTGTATTTTTAGTAGAGACAGGGTTTCACCATGTTGGCCAGGCTGGTTTCAAACACCTGACCTCAAGTGATCCACCTGCCTCCACCTCCCAAAGTCCTGGGTTTACAGGCATGAGCTACCACACCCAGCCTATTTTATTCATTTAAAAACACAAATCTGAGCGAGGTCCACAGGCTTCACCAGCTGTCAAGCCGGTCCTGGTACAAAACAATTACCTGGGTCAATCATTGTCTCTCCTCAAATGAGGCCAGTCTGGGTCTCTCAGTTTCCAAACCCCAGAAAGTTTCACTGAATCCCCAGGAAGGAGGGGAACTGGAGGCTCGAGAGCAAAGACAGAAATCAGGGGCCTCCTAGTTCATCTTGGGGTTGAAGAACCTTCTCAAAGTTTCAGAGATGGTATGGTTCTAAGCCCCTTTGCCAGCAGTGCATTTCTCAAGGCCAACGGTACAGCCTCAGCCTTTAGATGAGGGACCCCTCATTGTGCACTGGGCACCCGCTGTACCATGCCTACAGCCTCTCCTGCCAACACCCCCGGTTTTTCCAAAAGAGGCTGAGTCACACAACAGGGAAACCACTGAGGCACAGCTGGGCGCTTTCTCCTCCTCTTACCTCCCTATGGGGCCTGGCGTAGAGAGTTCTGGCTGGAGCTTTTTTTCTGCATCGCCCACCCCCTGCTGCCCTAGGTCCAAAAGCTCATCTGTTGCACAGAAAGCAAGAAAGGCGAGGAGGAGGAGGTGGGCCGGGGGTCTTGGGCCCTCATGGGCCGGGGACTCCTTTGGCTGTCTGGTGATACCTGTGGTCCTATTGGACAAAATGTTTCCAATTCAAGCAATAAAATATGTAGGATTATCAAGGAAACACATGGCATTAAAATATAATTAATAAAATATTAAAAATGCATGCGCTAGTAATAGATGTGCCTCTTTATAAATGCATCAAATAACAATCTAGCAGCAGGTCTCACAAGCACTGTAGTTTTGGAGCAGCAGTAAGAATTATATTTTGAGATGTCTGCAACTACTGGAATTTGATATGAAAATACCAGTGATTGGCTGGGTGGAGGTGGCTCATGCCTGTAATTCCAGCACTTTGGGAGGCTGAAGCAGGAGGATTGCTTGAGGCCAGGAGTTCAAGACCAGCCTGGGCAACATACAGAGACCCTGTCTCTATAAAAATTAGAAAGTTAGGCTGGGAACAGTGGCTTACCCCTGTAATCCCAGCACTTTGGGAGGCCGAGGTGGGCGGATAACAAGGTCAAAGATCGAGACCATCCAGGCCAAGATGGTGAAACCCCGTCTCTACTAAAAATACAAAAATTAACTGGGGTTGGTGGCGGACTCCTGTAATCCCAGCTACTCTGGAGGCTAAGGCAGGAGAATCGCTTGAACCCGGGAGGCAGAGGTTGCAGTGAGCCAAGATCACGCCACTACATTCCAGCCTGGGCAACAAGAGCAAAACTCCATGTCA